GAAAAAAAAAAGAAAAAAAAAATTTAAGAAAAAAAGGAAAAAGATAAAAAAAAATAGAAAAAAATTGAGAAACAAAAAGAAAATAAAATAAAAAAAAAATATTTTCATTTTTTCTTATTTTTTAGAAAAAAAAAAGAAAAAAAAAGAAAGAAAGAAAAGAAAAAAAAATGGAAAGAAAGAGATTCTTTACTTAAATAAATAAGAAAAAATAAAAATATAGAAAGAAAGTGATATTTTTGAATGAAAAAATAAACAGAAAGAAAAAAAAAGAAAAAAAAAAGAAATGATAAGAGAAAAAGAAAAGAAACGTAAAACTTAATTTTTTCTTGAAATTTTTAAAGATTTTTTTTAAATATCAAAAGAAAGAAAAAAAGAAAGAAAAGAAAAAAAAAAGAAAAAAGAAAAGAAAAAAAAAAACGAAAAAAGAAAAAGAAAAAGAAATGGAAGAAGAAAAAGTAAAGAAAAAAAATGTCGAGAAAGAATTAAATGAAAGAAAGAAAGAAAGAAAATTAGAAAAGAAAGAAAAAAGAGAAAAAAGAAAGAAAAAAAAAAAGGAAAAGAAATGGAAGAAGAGAAATTTAAAAAAAAGAAAGATAAAGAAAGAAGAAAAGAAAGAAAAAAGAAATTTAAGAATTTCTTGGAATTAAGAAAAAAAAAAGAAAGAAAGAAAGAAAAAAAAGAAAGAAAGAAAAAATCAAAAGACAAAAATGAAACGTTTTTTTGGAAAATGAAAAAAGAAAGAAAAGGAAAGAGATGAAAAATCCTTTGAATCAAAAAAAAATGAGAAAAATGGTCAGAAAAAAAGAAAGAAAAGAAATTGGCAAAAGAAAGAAAGAAATTAGGGAAAAGAAAAGAAAAAAGAAAGACAGAAAACATGAAAAATGAAAAGAAAAAAATGAATGATTGAAATTTTCATAAGAAAAGAAAAAAAACGAAAGACAGACAGAAAGAAAGAAAGAAAAAGAAAGAAAGAAAGAAATGAATAAAGAAAAAGAAAAAGATTGAAAATAGAAAACAAAGAAAAAAGACATGAAAAAAAAGAAAAGAAAAAAGAAAAAAGAAGAAAAAAAGAAAGAAAAAATTATAAAAAAAGAAAAATTTTCAAAAAAAAGATTTATTGAAAATCATATTTTTAAAGAAAGAAAAAAGAAAAATTTAAAAAAAAAAAAGAAAGAAAGAAAGAAATGAAAAAAAATTGAAAAATAAAAAAAAAGAAAAAAAAAAAAAGAAAGAAAAAAAAAAAAGAAAAAAGAAAAAAAGAAAGAAAAAAAAGAAAGAAAAAAAATGGTAAAAAAAGAAAAAAAAAAAAGAAAAGAAAGAAAAAAGAAAAAGAAAAAATTTCTAGAAGAGAAGAAAAAAAGATTTTTACAGAAAAAGAAAGAAAGAAAACGGAAAAGAAAAGAAAGAAAAAAGAAATTAATAACGAAAGAAAAAATGAAAAAAAGAAATAAAAAATAAAGGAAAAAAGATTTATTTTTTAGAAAGAAAAAAAAAAAAAAGAAAAGAAAGAGAAAAAAAGAAAGAAAAAAATTCCAGAAATAAAAGAAAGAAAGACCAATAAAAAGAAAAAAAGGTAAACAGACAAAAAAGAAAAGAAAGAAAGAAAGAAAGAAAAGAAAAAAAAAAAAGAAGAAAAAAAGAAAAGAAAGAAAGAAAGAAAAAGATGAAAATAAAAGAAATGGAAGAAATAAAAAAAAAGAAAAAAAGAAAGAAAGAAAAGAAAGAAAGAAAAATAAATGGAAAAGAAAATAGAAAAAAGACAAACAGACAGAAAGAAAGAAAGAAAGAAAGAAAAGAATTTTTTTTTTGTTTAAGAACCAAAAATGAAAGAAATATAAAAATGAAAAAGAAAAAATTGAAAAGAAAAAAAAAAAAAAAAATAAAATGAATGAAAATTTAAAATCTGTTAAAAAGAAAAAAAGAAAAGAAAAACTTAAAAAAAGAAAGAAGAAGAAGATAGAAAAGAAAGATTTAAAAAAAAAAAAAAAGAAAAAAAATTTTAAGAAAAGAAAAGAAAAGAAAAAAAAATAAAAAAGAAAAAAGAAGAAATGAACAGAGAGAAAGAAAGAGTAAACGAATGAAAAAAAAATGATGAAACCTGAACTAAAGAATAGTATGCAAAAGAAAAAGAGAAATAAATGGCTAGAAGAAAGAAAAGAGAATAAGGAAAAAGGAAGGAAAATCAGAAGAATGCAAAAAGGAAAAGAGAAAGAGGGAAATAAAAGACAGAAAGAGAATAGGAACGATAGAGAGTGACAAGTAAGAAATCAAAAGGAATGATGAAAAGGAAAGATTAAAAAAGAAAGGGGAAAAGATTGAGAGACGAAAAGGGGCAACAGAAAGAGAAGCAAACCAGAAGAGGGAGAGAAAGGAAAGGGGAATGAAAAGAAAGAAAGGCAAAAGATAAAATTGAGAAAAGGAAAATAAAAAAAAGGAAAAGGAGAGAAAGGGAGAGTAAAAAAAAAACATTTAAAAAAAACAGCGAAAGAGAAAAGTCGATAAAAAGGACAGGAGATAGAGATATAGAGAAAGGAAAGCGTGATAAAGGGAAGAAGAGAACAGAAAGAAAGAAAGAAAGAAAGAAAGAAAGAAAGAGAAAGAAAGAAAGGGGAAAAAAGAGAGAAATGTAAAGTAAGAGAAAGTAAAAAAAAATATAAGAAAAAGAAAAGGAGAAAAGAGAAGAGAAAATGTAAGGACAGAGAAAAAGAAAAGAAAAGAAAAAAGTAAAGGCGATAAAAGAGAAATTAAAAGTAAGGAAAACGGACAGGAAGAGAGAGAGAGAGAGAGAACGAGAGAGAGGGGGGATGGAATAGAAAGGAAGGAAAGAAATAACCGAAAAAAAAAAGAGGAAAATGAAAAGAGAAAGCAAAATAGAAAAGGAAGCAAAAAAGAAAAGGCGAGAAACGGAAAAGGATGAAAAAAAAATGACGGAAAGGGAAAGAAAGGAAAAAGGGAGAAAAGAAAAGAGAAAAAAATGGAGAAAGGAAAAGATAAGAAAAACGAGATAATACATGTAGGATATCCTGGGTATGACGATAAACTACATCCGGCAGCAAAGGTTTTGAGGAGCGTGGAACAACCTCTTCGTTATTGTTGTTCCCATGTCCACCCTAACTTTGGGTGGCAGCACCTGTTAGGGTCCCAGCTATTGGCAAATAGCGAACCTCCCAATAAAAATCAGCAGGACATTCATAAAATAAAATGACCAACAATACATTTTCGTAGCAAGATGACCACCAATGTAACACTAAAAATATATAAATATACATTTTTATAGTAAATTTACCAACAATACATTTCATAATCTACAAAATATATATTTAAAAAATATGACTTTAGTCTGAAAGTATACAATTTTGTAAAAAAAAAATCTGTAGTTAAAAGCATAAAATTACATACAAAATATTTAGTTTTCGGCATTAAATTACCCATACAGATGTTGATATGCCGCTAAACAAAATCAGCCAACATAGACATAGATAAGTTATAGCAATTTGTAATAGTGTCAAAGTGAAAACACTATTTACTCTCTAGTTGGTATAGCACTCTCCATTGATGGTGTGGCCCCTTTGAATTCCTTTACATTCCAAAAAACTGAGGCCGTCACCTTCTCTCAGGTGAAACGAACTTGGCCTTCTTTGGTGCAGTGGGGAGTTTCCCCTGCATGGATTATATCTTTGTTACTAGATCAAAATGATGAACCAACTCTCATCCTGGATTAGGAAAATTTAAGGAAACCAGCTGGATCTGCATCAATGTCAGATTTTTCCGTTGTGTGATCATCCTGGTGCGCTTTTGATCAGATGTCAGAAGACGTGGCGCCCACCGAGCAGAAATCTTCGTCATGCCAAATTCATTTTGCAGAATATTCTCAACTCTCTCACGAGATACGCTAATAGCGTTGGCTATTTGATTTATAATCAATCGCCTGTCGTCCATCACCGTCTGGTGGATATGATCAATGTTTTTTTTTCGGTCGTGGCAATTGCAGGATGTTCAGACATTCAGTCACCTTCAAGACTCTCCGTTCCCTTATTAAATTCAAGTGCCAATTTTTGCACTGTTTATAAAACTGGAGCGACTATGTTAGCATGAATGTCCTTGGGATGAAACTGTTTTTCTGCAGGTACTTGATCGCACCTCGATGCCAAATGTTGTCCATTTTCAAGAGAAGTCGCTACTAGTTACTTCTGGTGTCTTCTTTCGGCAATCAGATGCCAGTTTGCCTGAAAAGAAAGCATTACAGTTATTAATAAGAAGAGTGTCAATGAATGCATGTAAGGTTTCACAGTTCTAGCATCACTCCTTCATAGTCAACCTATGACCTTTATTCCCACCGTCATACCTAGAAAGAAACAATGCAGTTAATAAGAAGAGTGGAAATCAATGCATACAAGATTTCACAGTTCTAGCATCGCACCTTGATAGAATCCCTAAAGAAAGATATTTTATCAAAGAGTGCGCTATTATTAACAGTTAAGAATATTTTTGAACGTGCAGAAATGCAACGCCAGATTTTAGAATATTGTAGTAATGTTTTGATACGATATCTTTCGACAAGTATCACATTCATCTTCGTCTTGGAATTTTTATCTGAAATTACATGAAATTGAGAAAAAATAACATATATGCCTGAAGATGGTGAATGTTTTCACCGAAAGTACTTGCGAACAATATGGCTCGAACATCTAACCCATTGTACAATTAATAAAAACAAGGATCGTGTCGTTAAGCGAGTGGTTAGTGAGTTAATGCTTTATTTAATCTGTTAGCGAAGTGAATCCGCCATTAATTACAATAACTTTATTGATTTAACCTTTCAATGACTATTTTATGATATTAATTAAGCTGCACTAATTTTTCCCTGCTGTCTATTCTCCTGGATCTACGAATCGATTCGGTGAGTGCGTTCATCTGGAAAATTTCTTGGGGTGCCAACCTGTTAGTAGCTTCCATTGTCCGTTGGCCATTTGCAGAAAAGCCTCCTATTTTTTTAGGGAATGCCCGTTTCTCTTTCGAGGCGCTTCTCTGTAGCGTTGACCGGAGGCTTGCTCACTAAACAGATAGATGGCCTGCCCAGCGAAGTTTTCAGAACATTTGATTCATTTCCTTGTTCATACCTTTTCTAGTTAGAGCAACGCACTTCATCCTCAGCTCTCTTTTAATCTTCTCTCTCTCTTTTCTTGCTCTCTTCCTCCTCCTCCTCTCCCTCTCTCCCCCCCTCTCTCTCTCTCTCTCTCTCTGTCTTTCTCCCGTTCATTCTCACTCTGGCTGTCGCAAACATCTTTTAACGTATTTCTCTCTGTCTCTGCTTATATTCTTAATTTCCTCTCTTTTTTATCACTTCACTCTCATGCAAGGCAACAAAGCCACTAAGATGCAGGAAGGGGATACTGATTGTGTATATTAGCAGAGAGAACACTAAACGAACAGAAATTGAGAAGACAGAAGATAACGACTGACTTTGCACTTACATTCTGTCTATATCTCTGAGATAAGGTATTATGATTATTTACATTATTCGGACTTTCATCCTCATCTTCATCGGTATATTCACAACGTTTCGGCCGTTGTACGCTCCGACCTTCTTCAGATGATTGGAATTTCACCCGGAAGAGGCATGGCATGTGGAACTAGAACAATCAACCCCGGTAGACGAAATAAAGGGTTCGATTCGAAAATTCAATCCCCCCCTGAAGAAAAGAAATTCATAACCCGAAACATGAATATGGCAATAAAAATGAGGATGACTGTCCGAATAAACAAATAACTTGTAAACATAATTTCATCTCAGAGATATAGGCTATAGTTTTATGCATTATTTATTTTATGATTTATTGCAGATTTCATTTCTTTGAATAGGAAAACATTTTTTAAAATGCCGATTTTTTTTTTCATAAGAAATGTTAGATCTACTTATTAAACACAAAATAGCTGCGACCAGACAAAAAGATTTTGTTTTGCACAAGAGCTTTAGATTTGAATAATTTCTTTTTTGTACAAACAACTTTTATATGTCTATCTCTGAGATGAGGTATTATTTACATTATTTACATTATTCGGACTGTTATCCAAATCTTCATTGCCATATTCACAACGTTTCGATCATTGTACGCTCCGGCCATCTTCAATTGTTTAGAGTTTCACCCGGAAGAGGTATGGCACGTAGAACTAGAACAATCTACCCCGGTAGACGAAATAAAGGGTTCGGTTCAAAATTCCAATCACCTGATGAAGGCCGGAGCGTACAACCGCCGAATTTTCTTCATCTGTTCTCTCAGGAACGCCCTTTACCTCGAGCGCGTCTTGGGATATAGGCTCACTTCAGACCTCAAGTGAAACTCTTAAATACGATTCTTCTCAAAAGATACTGGAAAAATGGTCGGTTTCCTGTACCGCTCCAGTAAGTACCCGACTCCTCCTACTATCATCTACATTCACAAGAGCCAGGTGAGTTCAAAAATGGATTACTGCTACCATAAATGGGCAGATGCTTCCCATTCTTCATTTTTTTTCTTGTACGGATAGAGTCCAAAAGCGATTACGCTGGTTTGTGGGTGATTAATTACGAGGGTCAATGAAAAATTATCAGCACTTTCGTTATAGCATACCTTTAGGTTTATCAAACAGCCTTCTGTACATGCTTGCTTATAGTTGGTACTATTGTGGTCACGTGATCGAAGTTTAAATTTGATCGCTCCAGTTTCCTTGCTGCTGCTATTACACTGTATACATAGCCGCTCCGCTGACAGTGTGCACCAAGGAGGAACAACGAGCAGTGATCCGAATCTGCAGAGAAAATGCTAACTAATCGATGATAGCCCGCCGGCTTGCCATTACCATCTCTCGACCTTGCTGAATCTTCTCGTCGGTGGTGGCGGTTGACGGGCGTCTTTCTTGTCTGGACAATTTTAATCTTCTCAATTCTACGCAGCTGTGCCCTGTCGCCGTATTGCGTTAAAAGCTTCCGATGAATTTAAGCCTCTGACACACCTTCCAACCAAAGAAATCGGATCGCCGCTCTTTGTTCCTCCTTGGTGCACACTGCTAACGGAGCGGCCATGTTTGCACTGTAACAGCGCGATCAAGCTCAAACTTCGACGACGTGACCACAATAGTACCAACTATAAGTACGCATGAACAGAAGGCAGTATGATAAGCCTAAAGATATTTTATGGTGGAAGGGCGGATAATTTTTTACTTACCCTCGTATTTTCCACTTTACAACCCTTTCTTACTGGGAAAACGTCGCGAGCCTCTTGCTGCCCTATAGCTATTTGAATGGACTATTTCAGACGGACTACATTCCTTGGTTTCACCAGTAATAACCTTTATTGCTAACACGCATCATGAGATGGCCATTGTAGCGAACGACACACATTTCCCTCTCATTCTATTGGATAAAGTTTTCACTCGAACAACCTCTTCCTACAAACCTCTACTTTGTGAAATCGACTCCCAAAAGGATGCTTCTTTGACCAATACAATCTTAACCTGTTCAAGTCTAGGGTTAACCTTTATATTTCTCAAATATCTCCATGAATTGTGCCGTTTACATTGTAACTCTACATCGAGTGACTCTTGGGCCTTTTACCTGAAGAAAGTCATTGAAAGAGAATTTTTTTTTTCACTTTCCTTTATTTTGTCCTTCCTTCAAGATTTTTCTTTCTCCTTTTTCTGTTTCATTCAGTAATAGATTTTTCGCTTTCGGAGTCTAATAATTCAGTTTCTCATTCTTTTTCTTTCATTTTCTTTTACATTGCTTTCCTTTCCCTTGTTTCTTTATTCTTTTTTCTCTTTCTTTCTCTCTACTTTTCAACCTTCTTTTTCAGTTCCCTTCTCTCTTCTCTTTCTCTTCCTTTTCTTCTTTCTTTCTTTTCCTTTCTCTTTTCGTTTTTCTCTTCCTTTTCTCTTTCTTTACACTAGCTTTTCTCTATTCCTTCTTCTCTTCCATTCTCCGTCCCTTTTTCTGTTGCTTTTATTCCTCCTTTCTCTCTTCCTTTACCCTTTCTTTCTCTCCCATTTTTCTCTTTCCTTTTTCTCTTTCTTTCTCTCTTACTTTTCCCTTCATTTCTCTCATCCATTTTTCTCTTTCCTTTTTCTCTTTCTTTCTCTCTTACTTTTCCCTTCCTTTCTCTCATCCTTTTTCTCTTTCCTTTATATCTTTATTTTCTCTTTCTTTTCCCTTCCTTTCTCTCTCGTTTTTTTTCTTTCCTTCTTCTCTTTCTTTCTCTCTTCCTTTTCCCTTCCTTTCTCTCTCGTTGAGGAGGATACCATGTACCGAATATGTTACCAACGACGAAGTTTTAGAGAAAAATGGAAGGAAAAAGGACAATGATACTTAACATCAGGAAAAGAGAGTTGAAATCTCTAGGGAACATAATGAGGAAAGAGGGATTGGAAAATTTGATACTCACGGGACGGATTGAGGTCAAGTGAGACAGAGGAAAACATCGCATAGCGTACATAGTGGGCTTGAATAAATGGATGGCGGAACGGGGTTTAGGAGAAACAACAAAAATACATGTTTTAAAAGCGACAAAGGACAGGAAGCTGAGGAGGACCATGATCATTTACGTCATTAGGCGACACACCATATGAAGAAAAGAATTTCCACCCTCTTACTAATTTGTCTTCCTCATTCTCTTTCTTTACCTCTCACTCACTTTCTCTCTCTCCCTCTGTCTTTCTCTCTCTCTTTTTTCTCTCTCTTTAGATGAGTTCATTTCTCCCTCAAAATTATTCTTTATTATTCCTACGTCTTTTGACGTTTTCTCTTTATCTTGCTGTCTCTCTCCTCCACACAGTCGCACTCACTTTCTCTTCCTCTCCCTCACACTCACTTTCTTACGCTCCCCTCTGTGATTCTCTCTCTCTCTCTCTCTCTCTCTTTCTCTTTGGGTGAGTTCAATTCTTTCTTATCTCAAAATTATTTGTTATTATTTCTACATCTTTTCACGTTTTCTCTTTATGTTGCCGTCTCTCTCTCACTCACTTTCTCTCTCTCCTTCTCACTTACTTTCTTATTCTCCCCTATGTGATTCTCTCTCTTTTTATGTTGCCGTCTCTCTCCTCCACACACTCCCACCCACTCTCTTTCTATCTCTCTCTCTCTCTCTTTAACTCACTTTCTTACTTTCCTCTTATCTATCTCTCTCTTTCTCTTTGGGTGAGTTCATTTCTTTCTTATCTCTCTTAAAATTATGCTTTATTATGCCTACGTTTTTTCAGGTATTCTCCCATACAGTCACTCTCCACATCACTCCCGACGGATTCCTTTTCAGTTCTCCTTTATTATTTCTTCTCTCATGATATCATCTCCCCCATACTCTTCCAAATCTCTTCTCTTTTTTTTTCCCTCTTCTTTTTCTCTTTTTTCTTTTTTCTTTTTCTTTTCTCTCTTCTTTTTCCCTTCCTTTCTCTCCTTTTCTTTTTCCTTTTCTTTTTTCTTCTTTTTCCTTTTCTTTCCTTTCTCTCCTTTTCTTTCTTTCTCTTTTCTCTTTTTTCTCTCTTTTTTTTCCTTCCATTCTCTCTCCTTTTTCTCTTTCTTTTTGTCTTTTCTTTCTCTCTTCCTTTTCCCTTCCTTTCTCTCTCCTTTTTCTCTTTCTTTCTCTCTTCCTTTTCCCTTCCTTTCTCTCTCCTTTTTCTCTTTCCTTTTTCTCTTTCTTTCTCTCTTCCTTTTCCCTTCCTTTCTCTCTCCTTTTTCTCTTTCCTTTTCTCTTTCTTTCTTTTTCCTTTTCCCTTCCTTTCTCTCTCCTTTTTCTCTTTCCTTTTTCTCTTTCTTTCTCTATTCCTTTTCCCTTCCTTTCTCTCTCCTTTTTCTCTTTCCTTTTTCTCTTTCTTTCTCTCTTCCTTTTCCCTTCCTTTCTCTCTCCTTTTTCTCTTTCCTTTTTTCTTTTTTTTTTTTAAATTTTTTCTTTTTCTCTCTTTTTCTCTTTCCTTTTTTCTCTTCTTTCTCTCTTCCTTTTCCTTCTTTTCTCTCTCCTTTTCTCTTTTCTTTTTCTTTTTTTTTTTTCCTTTTCCTTTTCTTTCTCTTTTTCTCTCTTCTTTTTTTTTTTTTTTCTTTTTTTTTCTTTCTTTTTTTTTTTTTTTTTTCTTCTTTTTCTTTTTTTTTTTTTCCTTTTCTCTTTTTTTTCTTTTTTTTTCCTTTTCTCTTTTCCTTTCTATTCCTTTTCTTTTTTCTTTTTCCTTTTCTCTTTCCTTTCTCTTCCTTTTTCTCCTTTCCTTTTCCTTCCTTTTTTTCTTTTTTTCTCTTTCCTTTTCTTTTCCTTTCTCTTTTTTCTTTTCTTTTTTTTCTCTCCTTTTCTCTTTTCTTTTCTCTCTTCTTTTTGAAATTTTTTTTTTTTTTCTTTCTCTCTCCTTTTTTTCCTTTTTCTTTTTTTTTTTTTCTTCCTTTTTTCCTTTTTTTCTCTTCCTTTTTCCTTTTTTTTTTCTTTTCTTTCTTTTTTCCTTTTTCTTCTTTCCCTTTTTTCTTTTTTTTTTTTCTCTTTCTCTCTTTTCTTTTCCCTTCCTTTCTCTCTCCTTTTTCCTTTTCAAAAAAACTTTTTTTCTCTCTTTTTTCCTTCCTTTCTCTTTTTCTCTTTTTTTTTTTCTTTTTCTCTTCTCCTTTTTTCCTTTTCTCTCCTTTTTCTCTTTTCTTTTTTCTTTCTTTCTCTTTTCTCATTTTTTCCTTTTTCTCTCCTTTTTCTTTTCTTTTCTCTTTCTTTCTCTTTTTCCTTTTTTCTCTTTCCTTTTCTCTTTTTTTTTTTTTTTTAAATCTCCTTTTTTTTTTTTTTAATCTTTTTTTTTTTCTTTTTCCTTTTTCTTTTTCTTTCTCTCTTCCTTTTCCTTTTTTTTTCTTTTTCTTTTTTCTCTTTCCTTTTTCTCTTTTTTTCTCTTTTCCTTTTTTTTTCTTTCTCTCTCCTTTTTTTTTCCTTTTCTCAGTCTTTCTTAAATTCCCTTCCTTTCTCTCTCCTTTTTCTCTTTCCTTTTTCTCTTTCTTTCTCTATTCCTTTTCCTTTTTTCTCCTTTTCTCCTTTTTTTTTTTTCTCTTTCTTTTTCTTATCCTTTTCCCTTGGTTCAAAAAATTTTTTTCCTTTTTCTTTTTTCCTTTCCTTTTCCATCCTTTCTTTCTTCCTTTTTCTTTTCCTTTTCTTCTTCTTTCTCTCTTTTCTTTTTTGTGATTTCTTTCTTTTTTTCCTTTTTTCTTTCCTTTCTTCCTTTTTTCTTCCTTTCTCTTTTCCTTCTTTCTCTTTTTTTTCTCTTTTTTTTTCCTTTTCCTTTTCCTTTTCCCTTTTTCTCTTTCTTTTTCTCTTTTCTTTTTTTTTTTTTCCTTTTTCCTTTTCTCTTTCCTTTTTTTCTTTTTTTTTCTTTCTCTTTTCATTCTTTTTTTTTTCTTCTTTTTCTCTTTCTTTCTTCTTCCTTTTCCTTCCTTTTTCCTTTTTTTTTCTTTTCTCTTCCTTTTCCTTCCTTTTTCTTTCCTTTCTCTTTTTTTCTTCCTTTTCCTTCCATTTCTCTCTTTTTTTTTTTTTTCTTTTTTAAAACCTTTTCTCTCTCCTTTTTCTCTTTCTTTTCTTTTTTTCCTTTTTTTTTTTCTCTATTTTCTTTCTTTTTCTTTTTTTTCTTTTCATTTTTTTCTCTTTCTTTTCTTTTCTTTCCTCTTTTTTTAAATTTCCTTTTCTCTCTCCTTTTTTTATCTTTCTTTTTTTTTTTTTTTTCTTCCTTTTCCTTCTTTTTCTCTTGTCCTTTTATCTTTTCTTTTTTTTTTTTTTCTTCCTTTCTCATTTTTTTTTCTCCTTTTTGAAAGAAATTTTTTTTTTTTTAAAAAAAAGGGGATCATTTTTTTTCTTTCCTTTTTTCTTTTGCTTTTCTTTTCTTTTTTTTTCTTTCTCATTTTCTCTTCCTTTCTTTTTCTTCTACTTTTCCCTTCCATTTTCTCTCCTTTATTTTTTTTTTTCCTTGACTCTTCCTTTTCCTTTTATTCAACAGTTCTCTTTCTTTTTATCTTTTTTCCTCTTAAAATCCTTTTCCTTTATGATTTCTATTTTTAAAATTTTTCCTCTTCCTTCAAGGACAAGATTTAATTTTTTTTTTCTCCTTTTCTTTTCTTTTTTTTTATAGTCATCTTTTCTTTCTTCTTTTCTTTTTTGTTTTTCTTTAATTTTTTCTTTCTTTTTTTCCATGATCATTATTTCTTATAAAGAATCTTTTCTTAAATTTCCTTTTGTGACCTTCCTTCTTTTCTCCTTTTGTTTTTTTTTCATTGTTTTTTTTCTTTTCAAAAGGAAAAGATTTGAAAGTCTTTTCTCTTTTTTGATCTTTTTTTTCCTGAAAATTTTCTCCTTTTCCTTTTCTTTTCCTCTTTTCTCTTTTTTTTCTTTGGTTTCAAGAAAAGAATTTACAAAAAAGTTTCTCATTTTCCTTTCCTTTGTTTCTCTCTTGAAACCTTTTCTTTTTTTTTTTTTTTTTCCTTTTTTTTTTCCCTTCCTTTCTTTGTTTTTTTCTTTTTAATTTTTCTTTTTTTTTTTTTTTCCTTTTTTTTTTTTTTTTTTTTTCTTTTTTTCTCTTTCCTTTTTTTTTTTCTCATTTTTTTTATCTTTCCTTTGCATTTTCAAAGTTTTTTTTTGTTTTTTAAAGTTCTTTTTTTTTTTCTTTTTTTCTCCTTTTTTGTTTCTTTTTATTTTTTCCTTTTTTTTCTTTCTTTTTTTTTCTATCTTTTTTTTTCTTTTTCTCTTCTTTTTTCTCCTTTTTTTTCTTTCTTTTATTCTTTTTTTAAAGTCCTTTTTCTTTCTTTTCTCTTTCCTTTTTGTTGTATAAAATTATTTTTTCTCAATTTATTTTTATTTTTAAATATTTTTTTGTTTTTTTGCAATTTTTTTAATCTTTTTCAATTTCTTTTTATTTTTTATTTAAGAACTGTTTTTTTCTTTTTTTTTCCTTTTTGTTTCTTTCTTTTTTTTTTTTTTTTTTTGTTTTAAATTGTTTTTTCTTTTTTTGTTTCTTTCTTATTTTCTCCTTTTTTTTTTCTTTCCATTTTTCTTTCTTCATTTTTCTTTTTTTTTATTTTTGTTTTTTTTTTTATTTGAACACCTTAAAAATTCCTTTTTTCTTGACATTTAAATTCTTTAATTCTTTTTCTCTAAATTTTTTCTCCTTTTTAAAATGTCTTATTTTTCAGATTTATTTCTACTTATTCATTTAATCTTTATTTTCTTAGATTTTTTCCTTTTTTCTCCATTTCTTTTCTTGCTTTTTTTTTTTTTTCCTTTTTTAAATTTTTTTTTGTTTCTAAATTTTATTTTATTTTTTCCTTTTTCTTTCCAGGTTTGTTTCCAAAATGGGACCCTTTTCTTTTTTGTTTGTTTTTAAATTTTTTCATTTTTTTTTGTTTTTCATTTTATATTAATTGATTTCTTTTTTCCTTTTTTAAATTCTTTAAATTTCTTCATGTTTTGTTTTTCTTCTTTCAATATTTTTTTGTTTCAAATTTGGTTTTTTTTAAAAATAAAAAAACAAAATTTATTCAAGGCAGTTTTCATTTTTTTGTTTGTATGCTTTGGGGCAAAAACTTTTTTGTTTCTTTTTTTTTTCTTTTTTTAAACATTTTTTGTTTATAAAACATATAATTTAAATAAAATTTTTTTTTTTGATTTAATTTCAATTTTTTTTTCAAAATTTTTGTTTGGTTGTTTTTTTTTTTGATTTGTTTTTTTTTAAAATTTATACATCCCTTTTTTTTTAAAAAACCATTTTTTTTTTTTTTTTTTTCAAAAAAAAAAAAAAAAGAAAAATGACAATTTTTTCTGCAATAACCTTTCACCCATGGATTTTTTTTTTTAATTTTTTCTTATAAAAAAATTAATAAAATTTTTAAAAACCCTTTCATTTCTTTTTTTTTATAAAACTAATTCTTATTTATTTTGGGATGATATTTTGTGTTTTCAAAAGGTATGCGAAATTTAAATACTTTATTTTTTCTTTCGTTTTTTTTTTCAAAAATTTTTCACTAATTTTATTGATTTTTATATTAATTTTTTTTTATTGTTATTAATAATATTTATTCTAAATATTTACATTTTTTTCATTTTTTTTAAAAATTTTTCTTGAAGATAAAATTTTGATAAAAATTTTTAAATGTATTTTTTGAAAATTTTTCATCTTTTTTTGAAAATTCTCATAAATATATTCTGATTTAAAAAAACTATTTTATATAAATGTTTTTAGTTTAATTTGTTTATTTTTTTTTTTAATTTTGTTTTCAATTAAATTTTTGAAACAAAAATTTTTATTAATGAATACCATTTTTTAAAAAAAAAAAAATTTATTTTCAAAAATCTTGTTTCCTCAACAAATGAATTTTTGCTTTGGATCAAAAAAATGAATAAGGATTTAAATTAATGTTTTGAAAAATTTCTTTTTTTTTTTATTCTAAAAAGTTATCTATATTTTTATTTAAAAATTATATTTTTTTTTTTTTTTTTTGTATATTTTAATATTTAAATGCGTCAAACATCAAATTGGATTTAATTCAATTTCTGATTTTTAATAATTTTAATAAATTTTTATTATTTATATTATAAAATGGATTATTTATTGTGATTTTATAGAAAAAAATGGAAAAAAAAATCAATTTAAAAAAAATAACCAGATAAAATGAAAAAAAAAAAACATATATTTAAAATATAATTTAAAATAAAATTCAAAAAAAGTGATTATTTCTTTCATTTTTTTAAAATTTTTATTAGAAAAACATTCGATAATTTTATTTTTTTACATTTTGTTAAATTTTAAAAATGTTCTTGAAAAAAAAAGAAATTTAAATGTTTTGTTTTCATATAATTTATATCAATAATATTCATTTAAAAGGTATATTTTTGTAAACTATTTAAAAATATCTTTTTCAAACAGATTTTTTTTTTACATTTTTTCAAAAAAAATGATTAGAATCATTTAAAATTTCTTTTTTAAATTACAGTTTTAAAATAACGGATTTAAAGTAAATTGCATTTTATTTTAAAACTAAAATAAAATTTATTTTAAATGTTAATTTTTTTAATAAATTTAAAAAATTTAAAAATAATAAATTATTTAAAATTTTTTGTTTTTTATTTTTTAATTTGTTTAAGCAAAAATTTCTAAGTTAAATTTTTTTAAAAATTTTTTGAAAATTAAATGATAAATATTTTATTTTTTAAAATTTATTATTTTTTAATAAATTTTTTTTTAAATTAATTAACTTTTAAAAAAAAAACAATAAATTTAAATTTAAATTATTTACATAAGTTTGAATCCAAATTTTTTTAAAATTTTATGTGTTGTTTTAATTTCATTAAAAGAATTAAATTGAAAATTATTTTTTTTATATTTCTAAATAAAAATTGAAAAAATAATTTTTTTTTTCAAATTAAACATTTTTTAAATAATTTTTTTTTTAAATTATTAAAAATTTTTAAAATAAATGTTTTTTCAATTCTTTATTTTTTTTTAATATATTCATAAAAAATTGAATTAATTAAGAAATTTGAAAAAAATAAAATTGAATTTTTTTTTAAATCAATGAAATTTATTTAAAATTTTTATATATAATTTTATTTAAATAAATTTATTATAAATAAAATTAATTTTTTCTTTTAATTAAATTTATTTAATAAATAATTCATAAAATTTTTGATTTAAATTGATTTTCATATTTTTAATTTAACTATAAATAATTTTTTTTTTGTTATTTCAAATTTTTAATCAAAAAAAAAAAAAATGAGAAATAAAATAATTAAATTTCAAAATAATTTTTTTTTTTTAATCAAATTTTTTTTTTATTTATTTTAAAATTAATTTAATAAAAAATAATTAAAATATCTTTATAATATAAAAATATTTATATATATTTTATTTCCATAAAATATATTTTTAGATAAATTTTTTTTAAAAAAATTTCTTAAAAAAAATTTATTTTTAACTTTTTTTCCTTGAAATATAAATTTAAATTTTTTTTTATGTTTTTTATTAAAATTTTTGTTTTTTCAAAAATTTTATTTCTTTTAAATTTAAATAAATTTTTATATTTTTATATATTTTTTTTAAAAAAAATGTTGTATTTAAAAAATAAAGTCAAATATTTGTGATTTCAAAATGGATTCAATAATTTGATAAGATCAAAATATAAATTTATATATATATATGCATTTTAAATTTAATTAAAATTGATTTTTTTTATCAAAAAATTAAAAATTGAATTTTTTTATTTAACAAAAATATAAATATATTTAATGATTTTCCAACTTTAGAAAAAAATTTAAATAATAATTAAAAATTAAAATAAAAAATAAAATATTTTTTATTTATATAATTCAAAATTTTAACAAAAGAATAAAATTATAAATCATTTTTTTTAAAATTTTTAATTTAATATTATATTAAAATCAATATTTTTTTTTAATAAAGGTTTAAATTTTTTTTTTTTTTTTTTTTCCTCAAAGTAAAAATTTATTAATAAAAAAAAATAAATTCATAAATATTTTTTTTTTTTTCTATTTTTTTAAAATACAAATTTTGTAGGAAAATCAATATTTATTTTAATTTTAATTTATTCATGAAAAAATTGAAATTTTTATATTAAAATAGACAAGAAAAAAAAAAATTCTTTTTATAAAAAAAAATCAAAAACCATTAATATTGAAATAAAAGAAAATTTAAAAGTAAAAAATTCCAATCTTTTTAATATAATACTTCTCAAAAAATTCTTTTAAATCTATAAATGATAAGTTTTTATTTCAATTTTTTTTTTTTTAGTTAAATTTATTATTTTTTTAAATTTTTAAAAAATTATATTGATTTTTTTAATTTTCTTTATAAATAATCTTTTTATATTTTAAAGAAAAAGAATTCTTTTATATATTTCATTTAAAATTTATTATAAAAAAAAAAAAATTTAAAATATTTTTTTAATTTTCATTTTTAAAAGGAATTTTTAAATGTTTTTTTTTGTAAAAAAAATTTTATTTCTTTTTGAATAAATTTTTAATATAAAATATGTTTAAAAATAATTTTATATTTCAATAAAATATAATTTTTTTTTTTTTTGTTGATTAAAATTTTTATTTAAAAAAAATATTTAAGAATAAAAATTTTATAAGTTTAATATTTATAATTGAATTCATAATAATTATAAATAAAATCAAAATTAAAAAATTAAAAATTTTTCATTTGATAATGAAAATTTTTTGAAAGAATAATTCTTCATTTTTTGAAGATTTATCAAAATTTGTAATAGTATTTTTATAAAATTTTCATATTTGATGAAATTGAAAATTTTTGAAAAAAAAATCATTTATAAAAAAAAATAAAAAATTTTTTTTAATTTTTTAATATATTTTTCTTAACAAAAAGTAATTTAAAAATAATTTCATTCATCATTTAATATTTTTTATTTTTTCATTATTTAATATATATCAATACTTCTTATATAAATTTCTATTCTTAAAATTCAATTTTAAAATTTTTAAAAAAATTTTTAAAAAATAAAAATTTTGAACTAACAAAAAAAAAAGTAATTTTCATTTTATTTTTTGCTATTTTTTAAAATTATATTTTTTTTTTTAATGATTTATTTATTGAAAATTTTATCATTATTTAAATAAACATTTCAGGCAAAAATTCTTATTTAAATATATTTTTTTTTGTTTTAAAATTTTTAAAAAATAAAAATAATTTTATATTTTTATTTTTAAAAATATTTAATTTTTTTTTTTCAAAAATTTTTATTTTTAAAATAAGAGTTATTTTGTTAAATTTTTTTTTTTATATTTAATATA